CAGTCAGTCAGTCGGTCAGTCAGTCAGTCAGTCAGTCAGTCAGTCAGTCAGTCAGTCAGTCAGTCAGTCAGTCAGTCAGTCCGTCAATCATCTGCACTCAGTCCTTTGATTGTTCTCGAGCGTTCCGGAAGCGCCTGAACTCAATGGAGCGAGTTGTTCCACCCGAATAATCTACCGGTCTGAGGCAGTAGGGGCCTGAACTGTTCTGATGGGATTGTGTTCAATCACTATCAATTGTCGATGAATAGACAAAAGCGGTCAAAGCTGAATAGACATGACACAGCTTTCTTCTTTTTGTTCTTCGTCATCAGATGTGTGCAGATCAAACAAGCATTGATAAATTAATTGAAACTATCCGCACACGCACACACACGTTGGTATTAGTGCACACTAGGCAGCACAGTTCTACAACTGCATACGGAGCAATTCAGCTGATCATCGGTCGTTAAAATACTGGATTGGAATCTGACAGACAGGTGTTGAATGACACAAATAGACAGATAGAAAGATAGACACATAGATAGACACTTAGCGAGAAACCATGTATATCTCCAATGCGGAGTGGAGTACACACACATACACACAGACAGACAGACATCTGGCCATTCCAATCTTATGGAGCCCGTGCCATGAATGTGTGAACAAGAAGAAGACGGGTCAAATATACAGGCATAGTCCGCGTGGCTTAGATACGCGCAAGTACGCACAAACACACCGACACAAGAACATAATACAAATGCACATGCACAACAGCGGGAGCACGAACGGGGAGTGAGCGAATGAGCGAGCGAAGGAGTGAAGGAATATAGATGACGTCCAGCTCGAGCATTTCGAATGTCCCAAAACAGGATTAACATTTGCGGAGAGTAAATGTGCGTGATTGTACGGACAAACGCAATGTTGACGCAAAGGAATACCTCAAGGATTGACATGACAAGGAGTCGCACGATGATGATGACGATGATGATGATGATGATGATGATGATGACGATAAGGATGATGATGATGATGACGAAGATGATGATGATGATTCGCATGATGATGTTGATGTTGATGATGATGATGATGATGATGATGATGATGATTTGGATGATGATGATCATGATCATGATGATGACGATGATGATGATGACGTTCATTCGGATGATGATGATGATGTTGATGATAATGATTCGGATGATGTTGATGAGTATTCGGATGATGATGATGATGATGATGTTGATGATGATGATGATTCGGATGATGATGATGATGATGATGATGATGATGTTTCGATTGATGATTTTTCGCATGATGTTGATGATGATGATGATGATGATGACGATGATGATGGTGATATGGTTAATGAAGATGATGATGATGATGATGATGATGATGATGATAATGATGTTAATGATGAATACGATGTTGATGCTTATGATGATTATAATGATGATGATGATGTTGATATTTCGGATGATGATTCGGATGATGGTGATGATGATGATGATGATGATGATGATGATGATGATGATGATGATGATGACGATTCGGTTGATGATCATGATGATGATAATGATGGTGATGATGATGATGCTGATGATGGTGTTTCGGATGATGATGATGATGATGATTCGGGTGATGATGATGATTCGAATGATTCGGATGATTTTGTTGATGTTTATGATGATGATGTTGACTCGGATGATGAGAATGACTGGAATAATGAAACGCTGTTTGTTCCAGTCAAACGGCCACCGGTTTCAAGCATCACTGCCAAACGCTTTTACGTTTCAATTGGCACAAATCCGATCGTAATGATAATTATCTGTGAGTTCGTTTGCACGAACGCACACATGCACTACTCGAAGAACGGAGCACCACGGAGCGGGCGTATTACGTAGACGTTATGCTCGGTTTCGTCGACCGCGGACAACCTAGCAGCGGCCGACGCTAAAACTGATGAGCATACCGTAAAAAGTCATGGATGAAGATGAATCACCTTGACTGATATCTGTATAACCAGGTTAAACTTTGCATGCCATTAAGTGACTGCAGTCTCCCGAGGCTGTTGGGGAGGGAATGGTTACTCAAAATAAAATAAAAAATTTTAATTGAGAGGAAGTAATGGATTTCTCACTGCGTTAGGCAAAATGAATGGTGGTTTCACTTCGTAAAATATAGTTTTCGACCCTACTGTGAAGGAAGCTTTGATTTACAGGGGTAAATCTTTACGCGCATCACGGACAGCTTAGCTCGCTAGTAAATTTCTCAGTTCCACATTATTCATAGAGAACTGATAGAAAGAGATTCTAGAAGAGGAATTCCCAGATTGTCATTCTGATCAAACAGTCGGCTGTGGGCATTCCTGCTCTGAAACGTTCTAGATACTGTTCATAATTTGTTGTGGTAATCGGAATAGTATTGAATATCGGCATACGATGACCCGTACTGTAATGCTCAGAACTAGATTGGCTCCAACCCGAACTGCGGACACCGATGAAATATATGTGGAATTGATAGTAGCAAATGCTTATGTTTGTTGATATGATTAGTGCATATTATATAGAAGGTAATAGGCCATGCCATTGGTTGAAGGACCGGCGTCCAAACACGTAACCGTTTGCACAGACGCCTCACATGTGCTAACTCGGATGTGATGTTCCCCCGGTGTACCATTGGCCGAGCTTCCAGAACGGTGGTTGGATGACCTGAAGCTGTACCTGGTCGTGCCTGCAATGCGGTCACGTAAGTCTGGATCACCACATTTGCCTTTTCCCATGTTTGAGGAAAGACAATCCACTCATAATTGTATGTTTCCGAGTGGACTAGTTCTCTGAGTGCATAGTTTGAAGTAGTATTGCATAACATTTTTATAGGTGTACGGTTATCCCTTCTCTTGTAATACTGCTAATAATTTCTACGAGTACCGGTACTATTATATTATTATTATTATTAATAATACTATAGCAACAGTAATATTTCGCACATTAAGTTACTTTGAAGAACACGTGCTCCAATATCTCAGTAGCCGCGCGTCAAATACTTACTCGAATCTAATTATTGCATCTATGCATTCACCACGAGTTGAATGTGTCAGGGAGTTAGCATGCTCCCTGAAAACTGCATTTTTCTGGGACAAACAATCAGAACATCGATAGGTGAACTCAGGTGATTGGCCGGAACCGCCTGTCCTCACTCTTTCCCTTAAATGACCTTGATTTTCACATATTAACTGAATTCTTACATGTTTCCAGTTGTGATCTATTTCACTATCTGTGGATTTCCTATGTGAACGAGAAACGTTACCGGAAGAGATTCCAGTACAGAGTTAAATTCTGTGCGATCATAACACGTTGGTTCCCCAATCTGAAAATCAATGATTTCAGTTGTGAAACAGGGGGAACTGCCAACCAATCCCGTCGTCATCATCACGCAAAGAGCTTATTCTCCGTGAATCATCTCACTCACTACAACATTTGGGCCGTTTACCGGATTTTGAATAACAGTTTCGAGCAAAAATTTGTCAGTTTTCATGATTGGTTGTCAACAGATTGTTCAGACCGAATTCCAACCGCGGAGTTATGCACAGTACTTTTAGGGCTCGTAACCCAACATAGAAAATCAGAATACACAAGACAGCATGCTCCTCAGAACCGGGTTAACAATGTAATGAATGTTCTTGTGAGAATAAACCAATCAATTAAACGATGACCTAAAACTAGGTCAAACTGGCGCACGGAAAAAACGGATTGGAAGGGTGTTAGTCAGTGTCTGTCATGATCAACTGTATCACGTGATTGGTCGAACTGGGAACTGGTGGACGAATTGCGTACTTAGCACAGATATTCAAAAATTAACAGCATCTCCACCCTCACCCACTCCCATTACCCAAGTCGGGTATCTGAACGCGAAGATCTACATGGATCTCCTTCTCCCGTGGGGCAATGTCTACTCATCTTGAATGACTTACTACAAAATGGGTAATCCACAGGGAATCGGCGAAAGGGGCAATCAACACAACGTACACGCATATGCCATCAGAAAACCCATGGCTTGATGTGCGTAGGTTCACTGGGGTCAAATGTGTGATCGTCTGGAGGTGTAAGCATACAATAACAACAACTTTAAAGTGATTGGAAATCGAACGGACACAATCTACGTGCGGTTGCGAGAGAACCTCAGATCAGTTTGCACGTGAGCCAAATAGATGTACTTTAGGTGCTATCTTCTCTTCAGTAATGCTATTTATTTGTAAATATTCAGGTGATTCGAAAAATCCTATTCGTTGTGTTTTACTAGATTATTCTTCCGCTTTTGATTCCATTCCACACTCTTTTCTTCTCCGAAAGTGACAGACATTCGGTTGCTCCACCACGTGGTTGAAGGACTGACTATTCCACAGTAAGCATTCGAAGAACGAAAGCCAGCGGCACTATTTTAAAAGCGTTAGAGAATAATTCTGGAGTCCTTTAGAGTGCTGTGCTTTTCAATTTTCATCAGTGACTAAACCTCTTTCGCGCCAACCTAAACCTTTGAATATGTCAAGCCATTTCAAACTAATCTGACGTAGAATCATTTTCTGACAGTTTAGCACAAGTGCAAGTGCATACTCGAACCAATCCAGTCTTTCATCTAAATGCTTCTGAATGCATTTTTAGTCTTTTCCGGTCCGAGTGTCCTGTGGAACCCTCATTTATCAACTCCGTACCCATCACCAGAACGCGTACAACCAAATATCTAGGAGTTACCATTAAGAGCAGTCTACGATAGTCCTCTCAAGTGCAAGCCTGTGTTATTAGACTGTGTCGCTTATCATTCCAGATGCGCGAGCCAAGACCATTTAGAGTGAAGCATTCAACCATATCAGTTAATCAGTGCATTTTCCTGTCATACCTTGTGGTTCCCCGGCCTACCGCCAAACCATTTCGTCACGGGTGGCATCGTTTTGGTATTTATTAGGCGTGTTTGCCTGTTTTCCCATCGGTACTCTAACCAGTCAGAAAAATTATGTGATTTCCATGTAACAATTTCGCCTATAAGAGCTTTCACGACTCCAGCTGTTCACTCAATCCCGATCTATCTGTGTACCGTTCTCACGCTACAACCGGATCCACAGTTATCGCTGCTGACGATGCGGCATAAAAATTTATAGCAATTCAACAATACCGTATCTGACTGGTATTCTAACTGACCACAAGATGAAGATCCGAAACGAACTAGTTTTAAACCTACAAATGTGATCTACTGTTTAAGTTTCTTATCATTTTTGTACATAATGTTTTCATTCTTTTATCCCATTGTAGCGGTGAACACATTGTTTGTGGACTGGAATGTTCGCAAAGGTGCCTGCACAAGTCACCACAATACAATGCATTACTATACTATACTATACTATACTGCAGTACACTACACTACACCATACTATGCCATACAGATGTTTTGGAATAAGCCTACGGCGTCTGTGAATTCCAGTCGTGAACTGTCTTCCACAATCGTTTTTGACTAATCTCCTTCCGCCAAGGACTGCACAAACGGATCTAGGGGAACAATGTCGAACGCGACCTAATGAACCTTTATCAGTATTCTTCTTCAAAATACTCCACCTTTTTCAACGTCTAAATCTGGAGCTATTATTATCAAGTGAATAACAAGGAGCCCCTATATAGGACGGTGACCAGAGAAAGGAAGCATTTACAAAAAAGCGTGTAAACCATGGATTCAGGTAGCGCAAATACAGATAACTTATGACAGGTTGACTTTGGTAGAACTTTGACCTCCTGTGTGCTTTTTGGCATTTCTGTGGTAACCACCAGCCGAGATAAGAATCATTATGCAGCATCAAAGTCGTGTCGAATGTCGAATAAAATGAAATACTCAAG